AGAATGTGGTCTTGGTGGTCGTGTAAGATTAGCTATTGACATTAGGTTATATTAAATTTATTTTTATTAGATGGCGTCATTGAGTTTTTTAAAACATTTAATTGTTAGTTTTATATGATGCTTAAATAACTTTTAGTGTTAAATCAAGCCACAGAAATAATAATAATAATAATAATAATAATAATAATAATAATAATAATAATAATAATAATAATAATAATAATAATAATAATAATAAGACAAGGTTAGTATTAAATAACTAAGCCACAAAAGATGGGCTTGTATTAAGAAAAACCATTAATACAAGGTTAGTACCTTTTTTTTAAGTTAGTAACATTGGAGTACCATGTAATGATTAGTTGCATTTAACTAGCTAATATCTGATAGAAAGAAAATGCAATTCTTTTCTTAAGTAAACTGTGATAAAGCAATATGGGATTCCTCTAATCCTCTTACACGCCATATGGCACATTCCAACAGTAAGCTATTCTTGAGTGCATCGTTTTACGGTTGATGTACATATGTTGTTTCGACCCACATGATATACAGTTGACAATACTAAAGATTTTGCCAACGGGTCAATATAGACTGATGACAATTAAAGGTTCTTACTCCCATGTGCCACTTAATAATTTTCCAAACGCTTAGTTTAAAAAAGAAAAAAGTATGAGTAGATATGTCTTAAATGATACTGTTGTAATATCATAAACTTATTACTCCCTTAGTTATAAAATATATTTTTTTAAGATTTAAATTCTACTACCTCCATTTCAGGTTATAAGACTTTCTAGCATTGTCTATATTCATATATATGATAATCTAGGTATATATATATATGTGTGTTGTGTCTAAATTTATTAACATATATATGAATGTGAGCAATACTAGAAAGTTTTATAATCTGAAACAGAGGAAGTATTAAATTTTATATACAGTACGAGCATTTCTGCATTGATGCTCGATTTATATAGTTTGACAGGATATGACCAAATTATGGCCCTGTTTAGTTCCCAAAATTTTTTTCTCAAAAACATCACATCGAATCTTTAGGCACATATATGGAGCATTAAATATAGATAAGAAGAAAAACTAATTGCACAATTTGCATGTAAATCGTGAGACGAATCTTTTTGAGACTAATTAGGCCATGATTAGCCATAAGTGCTATAGTAACTTACATGTGCTAATGATAGATTAATTAGGCTCAAAAGATTCGTCTTGCGGTTTACAGGCGAGTTATGAAATTAGTTTTTTCATTCGTATCCGAAAACCCCTTCCGACATCCGGTCAAACGTCCAATGTGACACCTAAAAATTTTCATTTCCTCAACTAAATACACCCTAAACGTGGACCTCAAACGTAGATTTCCCTTTAATTTGGGTCAATATGTGGGCGCTAGCATCAGTGATTTAGTATTCTTGAATCGATGTGACCAAGGAATCCTTCAAATCTGTCCACCCAAGGCAAGACAGACACCACTGGATCACTGAACTGATCAGAATTTGTGGTCGGTTAGGTCAATGCACACTACAACTTCCACTGATAATCAATTAATGCACAGATACTTGCTAGTTATAATTAAATTCAGTCGAATTACACTATGAGGCATTGTGATCAGAAAAAAAATGTTGTAGCTACCAGCTTGCTAGAAATTAATGACATTAGGGAGAATCAAACAACATTTATTATGGCATTAATTTGATTTTGTAAGTAGTTTAGGCTTTAGGCTGGTTTTGTAAGTATTTTCTTAATCAAGTTTTGATTATTTTTTAATACATGGATGCTTGACCTCTTTAAAATTGGATATAGCTTTTTTAAGCAAAGACCGGAATGAATTTCACTTTGTACAAAAAATTGCATTAATTTAATTATTAAGAGTGAATTGTACTTAGGGCCACCTTTTGTCGCCTTAGTTTCATTTTAGAGCACCCTAGTTCGATCTTTTCATTTCGAACTAGTTATATTTATGTTTGTTTCACTTTAGACTACCCAAAACCGTTTCTTTAGCACATCAATAACCTCGAGGACGTCGTCTCCAGGATGTCGGTGAAATCCTTCACATATAAGCAGGTTATAACTTATACGTATCTTTGCCTGTGTATAGGATAAACATGGCTAGTAAGAGAGTCGGGATGATTCAAAGTATAAAATCATAAAGTGAGTTAGTATAACGTGAAAAGAGTATAAACTACGGCAATAATATGTGGCCAAAAGTGCGGCCCACTCTTTAATTTATTACCACTCAGTAAACATAGCTACCATCATGGTACGTCATCACCAACATCCAAAAATATTAGTTACTTAAAAAGAATCCAGAAATAATGTCCATTAATTTCACTAAGATTGGAGACACAGATCATCCAACCTCACACAAAAGTCCCTGCAAATCACGACTTCATGCATGTGAAACATCCACGAGGAAAATTAATTAAAGTCAACAAAATTGACAAGTTTCTATTCGAACTAACGTATCTGGCTAGTTAATTTTGTTGTCCTTTCGATGGCTGCACTCCAAAGTTGACATGAACAAGGAACATGATTCAATTGGGTAGCTAGGCCACGTATTACTTCACTCGAAATATGCATATGCACGTCAAGCACGGCTAACATTTTCCAAACCCATGTACCTACTACTTATAAGAAGATACAAATTTCGGCGTAACGAGTTTTGAATAAGAACAAGTATGAATCTAAAAAAAGGAATCAGAATGGATACAGTTAGAGTGCATATCTGCCACCGGAATGATGTACTCCCTCCCTCCCTCCATTCCAAATTACAGGACTCTTTATTTTTTTAGAAAATTAAACCTACTAACTTTTAATTAATAACCACACTAATAATATATAACTATATATATATATATATATCCCAAGTATTATGTTACTTATCATTAGATTCATATTTTAAAATAGTTTCATATGATACTAATTTTATAATCATTGATATCGTAATATAAAATAAATGAATGATCAATGTATATTATTGAAAACTATATACTTATAATTTAAGATAGGGAGTATTACATATGCACAAATTGTCTTATCAAATCTGGCTATATTTCGGATAATATTATATAATTGAGGGTTTGTTGAAACCATGCAAATTAAGTTGTTTTCATATATATATAAGCGTAGATATACTGTATGACAATATCAATATTGTATTCTCATTATTTATATATTTAACCATATACTCCCATTATGTTGGTATTAGTTGGTCTTTTAGAAAGTTCTCAAGAAAAACGCCAAATATGACGAAAATACCTAGCAAGATCAAGCTAGCAAGAAACGTACAAGAGGAGCTTACAAGTCGTTTTCGCCTCACTAATTTTCTGGGCGGCACTCCAAAGTTGACTCCATAACACGTAATCTAAATTAACGAATCAGAAGGTATGACACGTCGACGGTATGATAATAAATAAATTATACACAGTTAGCAAACTGATGGGTTTCATCGTAGAAAGCGAACCAGTAATTTAAAATCAAGTCAAGGGCAAGGTCAAGCTCACACGGCCGACTGGTCATTTTATTTATTGTTGTCTTTTCTGGAACTCAATTGTTAATTATTTCATTTGGGCACCATCTCCAATGTTAGCATCCACTTTCAACAAATAACTATAAAATGGGTTCATTTTGCCGAGTGATCATCCATGATCTCTGGTTATTAACTCCTGTTTTTTTAGCCTACTTCATTCGTCCCATAATAAATTTATTTTTTACTCTTTTATTTGTTTACAATAAGTTTAGTTTAAGTAATTATTAAATCAAAATTTATAGAAGTAGAAGATAAATGTGGGAGTAGGTAGAGTAGGAAATAATTGCACTGTGATATGATAAAGTAGGGTATTGTATTTTTTTATTGATATGTGTAGAAGGAGTAAAAAAATGAAGTGTGTAGTAAAAAAATTAAAGTGAGTAGGTAAAAAAGGAGCACGCGTTATTGCACGATTAATTATGTATTAACTTTTTTTTAAAAAAAAGATTAATGTGATTTTTTAAAACAACTTTTGTATAAGAAATTTTTTTGCAAAAAACACACCGTCTAGCAGCTTGGAAAACGTGCACGTGGAAAATAAGAGAGGTGAGTTGGGAAAAGTGGGATAAGAACAAACTCAGCCTTAGGGAGTACTTGTTTAGTTGGGAATGATATCCTCTCCCATCGTTAGAGAGATATGTCGTCGTTGACATGTACTCCCTCTATCCCATAAAAAAACAACCTAGTACTACGAATCTGGACATAATTTTATCAAAAACATTATACTAGAGTATGTTACATCTAATTATAGATTCGTTTTTTATGAGAGAGAGGGAGTACTACTTATTGTTCTTCAAACTACATGTCAGTAACTACGTCGTTGGGAAGTTTGTGGTAGTAAAACTACTTCTGTTTTGTTGTATACTTATACTTAGGAACGAATTGAAGAATATGCATCCATGTGACACGCTTCTTGAACTATTAAAAACGGAATTGAAGAATGATCCATGTGACACTCTTCATGAACTATTAAAATAGTGTGCTCTTAAAATACTTTATATATATATATATATGATTTTTTAACTAAAATATTAAATCTATTTTCAACTTTATAGTATTTTATAGTAGTTAACTCAAATAATTTGTAAAAAAAAAACCAGGCCTGACCCCTTTTCTCTATAAATAATCATGCATATATTTCTCTATAGATAGAACCTTGCATATCCCGGTTAAATCTCTAATTTCTGGTTTTATGTACCATATTTTGTTAAAAAAAAACACCACCTGACTCGTATAAAAGGAAGTACTCAAACCATGACGACAGCCAAAACACGTAAGCTCACGGAATCAATTCCATATCATATCATATTCCGATGAACCTCAGCGCGTCTTGGGTTGCTACAGGGCAACAGTTCCTGCTTGCTTCTGCGCCGCTTGATCTGCTCATCTCGGTTGGATCCATCCGTCCGTCGTCTCCTTATGGCGGGCGCGAAGCTTCCTTCCTCCTTCGTCACGCGTCGCGTCGCTTCACTGGCCCCACATCCGATTCCGCACTGCTGTGCTGCCCAATTCCTCCACGCATCGCTGCATTTGGGTGAGAGGGGAACCAAGCTAGGGTTTCGCCTCCCCCGCACGCCTCCTCCTCCGCATCGCGCGAACCGACCCGACCCCCGCTTCGCCGCCGCCGCGGCCGCGATGGGGACGGAGAGGAAGCGCAAGGTGAGCCGTGAGCCTCTTCGACGTGGTCGACAAGACCTCCGTCTCCGCCAAGCTCGGCGGCGCCGCCACCACCAACGGCACCGCCGCCGCCGCGGCGGCCAACCAGCCCCTAATCGGCGAGGTACCTCGAGTCCCAAGACACTCGAGAAGCGCCGCACGCTCCCCGTGTGGCAGCTGAAGGACGATTTCCTCGCTGTCCTCCACGACAACCAGGCCCTCATCCTCGTCGGAGAAACCGGAAGCGGCAAGCACTCAGGTATTGAATCTGCACCTTTGCCTGTACATCTCCACATTGAACTGTAAAAGTATTTTAGATTAGTCATTATTGGTTGTTTATTAGGGGATTTTTTTTCCTTCTAGATGGAATCGCACCACAGTACCTCGACCCCCAAATCCATCGATCCGCCGCCATCGGTTCAGGGGAGTGGCACTCCGGTAGGCCGCTCATCGAGTTATCTTGATTTCCCGAGCCTCCGCTCATCCGCCACCACGCGTGTTCGGGGTTCTCTGCGCCATCGTCGCCTTCATCCTCCTGTTTGCACGCTGCCGCCAATCTACTGACTCTGGTATGCAAGTCCTAAATCGATCTTCTTCTCCATTGTTGTCATCCTTGCTTCTATCCTCTGCATCGATCGATTTGGGTGACCTATGTTGTGGGTCTGTGATTAGGGTTTCAATACGGAGTGGACAAAGTGTTCCAGCCATTGCCATCGTCGCCTTCCATGGGGCATGAGCTCCTCTGTTGGGGTTCAGTACTGAGTGGAGAAAGTGTGTTCCGGCCACTGCCGTCATTGCCTTCCACGGGACAGTAAGCTCCAGCAAGCGGATATAGGTAAGCTTCTATGCCACCATTATCTTCTCTCTGGATTAGGCCATAAATCTTGATTCCGATGCGTGCCTACACTCTTCCAACTGCTCCCGGTCACGGATAAAGCTTGGCCACTTCCCCGCTGCTGAAGCATCATTAGTTTCAGGCATTAATATCTAACATTTGATTCTTTTCCTTGTAGATCTGCATTTCCATCCGCAACAGCTCTTCATCTGGTCTGCCTCTATTCATTTTGTTGTCAATTGGTTGGTTTCACCATCCTTTACTCTACAACAGATGATTTGCATGGCCATTGTTTCATGCGCAGGAAATTCATGGACGGTTTACAATGTAAATTTGATGTTGGATGGTGTCTTATCTCGACCAAAGTTTGTCAAATTCGCTTGCCTGTTGCTGCGTTGTATAACTTGCAACCTATTTTTCTTATAGCCATGCCATAAGCTTAGATGCACCTTCTACTCGTTGCCTCATGTATGCAGCCGTGTTTTGATATATATGGTGCAGTGACTTTGTGAGCAGCTCAGTTTAATAGAACCAAGGTACGTTCTCTTCTCCTTTTGTTTTAATATATTTGCAGATTTTCAGAATTCTTCAGTAGCTTAATTTGATTTTCTTTACAATCTTATAGGTAAGATGGTTGATCTCGATCATTGTTTCAAATTGATTGCCTACAACTCTTTGAAATAGAAGGTAAGTTAACCAGACATTCATCTACTATATATGTTTGTGTATGTCATATACTTGATGAAATGCTTGATGGACTTAGCCCGTCGATATGCATTATTGGTTAAGTACTCAAAACTGCACACTGCTGTCACTTAATTTTAGATTTCTCATTACGTTCAGTTATATTAGATTCAGGCCTTAAGGGATATGGCAGCTATTAACTGTATAATATTTTGACCCAAATGATTCAGTTCTAGAGCACTTAAAGATGGCTATTGCAGGTATTATAGGCCAGCACAAAGTTTGTTGTTGTTATCTCTTTGTTGCTTGCAGTATACTCATATCACATTGAAGCCAAGTTATGCTATGTATTACGTTGATTTGGTCATGAAACGTTTCTCTCTATTCAGGAAGCATTTTTATTCAACAATGTATGCGCCTTCTTTGCTAAACTACTATGCAGTGGATGTGTTCATGATTGTTTTCTTCTGATCCTAGCACATTCCCTGAGATATCCTTCAAATATGATGACTTCAAAGTCATCGTGTGCCTTTTTTCCTCTCATATTTACATTGTTATGCCTAGGACAATAGCTTCAGTTTAACAGTGCACCTTCGCTGCTTGATAATTGCGATGGGTAAGATACTATCAGTCAACTGTGAATGTATTATGTACTAATGTTGTTTCACCTCTACAAAGCCAAAAAATGAAGTTCTCCCTAGACACACCCAAACCTTCCAAGTAGAGCAATAATTTTATTAGCAACCATTATTTCCACATATCTATCGCCTCTTTGATTTAAATAGTCATCCAAGATAAAGGAGTTAACGCAATAAACTAAATGGGCTGCTCATTTTGTTTAATGTCCATAGATTTGCAAGCAGGAATCCCTCAATCTATATTTTCTTTGCTTGGCAGGAGTTACATTTTTTTAGATGACATCCAGTAGGGATTCAGGCCATTGGAGCTTGAGGGATACACACCATTCAGTAGTTTGAGAAATTGATGTTTCAACTTCGCCTAAATTTATAGGTTAAATATGATACTAATTAGTTGTGCTTGTCGTTTTTAGTAATCAGTGCCACATATAAAATGTAGCTCAAGCCATTTTTTTGTGCTTTTACCTCTCCTATCAAGGTAGGACTGATGTTGGCATTTGGGAACGCCTTTTCATTTTCTTTATGTAATGAGGATTAATGTATTTCCAACTCCTAATTAGTAAATCACAACAAGAGGAAAGCAATAAGGATATAATTACCCTTTCTAAATTGAGGTGATGTATGCAAGAAACTAGCCAATTGAAATAACCAGGCTATGAATGTAATATGAAAATACAAAACATTGAATGATGTGTAAGGAGGATCATTTCCATCCACTGATTGCATATGCTAATTCTATTATTTTATCATCTCTTTTTTCAAAGGTCCTTCCGGAGATTCTTCATATGGCTATCCTGGTCTGCTAACTTCTACTCCCTCCGTCCCATAATAGGTGACGTTTTTGACTTTTTATTTGCAACGTTTGACCATTCGTTTTATTTGAAAAATTAGTGCAAATATAAAAAAAGATAAGTCATATGTAAAGTACTTTTGATAATAAAGCAAATGATAAACAAAATAAATAATAATTTCAAAATTTTTTGAATAAGACGAATGATCAAACATTGATAAACAAAAACTCAAAAAGACAAGTAATATGGGACGGAGGTAGTATGATTTAATCTGTGTGCGCTGCTGCTTTCCATGTCTCTGCAAATGCATATGTATTGATGTGCCCTTCAATCTCCATGCAGAGTATGCTATCATGACACACAAGGATTTTTTTTGTTGGGTGCTGTGTAAAATTATTGTTACCGAAGCCTTCAAAGGTATTACAGTAATATATTGTTACATCTCCTTCACCGGGCTTCTATACTAGAGATCCTCCTATTACTATTTTAGTTCTTTTTAAACCAGACAACCTGATTAGCTATTCTTACTTATCTTTTTATACAAGATTTTTTTTACAAGATTATATTTGCACCATCAGATGTAGAATGCCAACTTTGTTCAAGCTCCCCCTAGCCATATACCATATATTCATGTTCTGCTTGATTTCTACTCTGTGGTTGAGCAAAATCCTGTGTATAATACTTATGCATCTTGCATTGCACTTCAGCTTAATTTTTGTAGAGGCCACCCTGTGCAGCTTTCTCAATTTCATCCATAACAAAACAAGGGGCATTTTACATACTCTTAGGTAATTGCTTGGGTACATTGTATTTTGATATCCTTCAGGTCTACTATTTGAACTCATCAATTAGTGAGTAGGATGAATAGATATTTACTTAGGCTTGATGTTGCTACTTCCCTAAAGAGATTTTCTATTGGTTCTATCAACTATAAATAATTTATTCCTTCATATTCTGCCAGTGTCTCTTTCAGTGTGATACGTGAATTCAGTATGCATATGCTCTATTAACCTAGGTGCTACTTTCATTATGTCATGATAAATTGAGTTATGCCCATTTCAGATATATGATCTCTACTTTTATTTAGCTCATAAAGGTAGATTGTTTCTCCTTTGGCAGTTCAAACCGGTATGCTCCGTTTGTATCAAGTAAAACAGTTACGGAGTTGCTAGAAATATGGCGCCATATACTACAGTCGATTTTTTTTCAGCCACTTACACAGTAGTTACACCTCATTTACACCCCACTTACATATGTAATTAGTATATAATTTTCGAATTTACATATGTAATTTTAGTACTTACATATGTAATTTTGAGACTTACATTGTAAATACACTAAAATTACATATGTAATTTAGGGACTTACAATGTAAATACATGCCGACTATTTTTTGATAAAAAATATGGCGCCATAAATATAGCTACACCCAACAGTTATAGGTCATGTACATGGAACAATTGATACATTTTTCGCTATATTGTAATGATAAAGGATATTTCATTGATTAGCAAAAGATTCATATAACTTTTGATTTGATTATTCAATATGTCCCCGGCAACGCGCGGGGTCCCGGCTAGTATATCATGTTCTCATTACCTCGGGCTTTATGGGTTGGATGGAGTGCGGCCACACAGTTGGCCATTCTCTTTTATCTCTCCAAATTGACGGTAGATGCATCTGTGCAAATTAAGGCATGTTTTTGTTCCTTATGCCATTCGATGCTATCAGGTTCATTGCCAACAGTGTTCGTTTTTCCAATTCCTTTGCTTTGCTTATAAACCACACTTATCGTCGTGTTTTTTTTTCATGGTGGTAATCTCTATATATCTAATACAAAAGCTCGAATTTGAGTTTGAATGATTTTAGGCTTGGCTCGAATGTGGGTTTTGGCTCAGCTTATTAGCAGCACGTACGCAAATCAAGTCTGGTCATCAACTCATGATTAATTAACTGCTATAAACTTAGACATAGATTTATTTATTTTTAATAAACTTCTATATAGAAAGTTTGTATCAAAAGTGTATCTTTTTTAGCAGTTCATAAAGCGTGCTAATTAAAAAGGCAAGGGAGTAGCTAAATCCTAAAGGTGCATTCAAATCACCCTTAGTTATTTACAAATTGTTAGTTACAATATATTACCTCCGTCCCAAAATAAGTGCAGCCGTGGGAATCCTTATCTAACGTTTGACTGTTCGTCTTATTTAAAAAATTTATGAAAAAAATAAAAAAATAGTCACACATAAAATATTATTTATGTTTTATCATCTAATAACAATAAAAGTACTAATCATAAAAAGTTTTTAAATAAGACAAGCGGTTAAACGTTAGACAACAGTGCAAAACTGCACTTATTTTAGGACGGAGTGAGTTTCTAATTGAACAATATGGAGTTTCTAATGAAAACCTCCTTCTCAGTGTCTCTTTTCATTGTCTGTACTACACAACATGACGTTTGCAAAAGAAGACTAACAGAAATATAGGAAATTACATTTAAAAAGACATAAGGTCTAGAAAATAAAATGTCATGAAGTGGGTGTGCATGCTCAAAATTTTCGTACATGAGTTTGGTGTTACAATGTAATTTTTTTCTGAACGCACAAAAGAAATTACATGTTATTCCTTTAAATGTTATTCCTTTAAGATGAAAGAAGGGTTTACACAATGTAAAAGTCGGAGGGCGTCTGCCAGGGATTAGGGGATTGAAGGATTAATACCAGAAGGTGCTATTAGAGGAATGATCCCCAAAAAAAAGGAAGAAGGGAAGGAAGCTACATAGGTCCTATCCTCCTAGGAAGCCCACTAGAAACTACAGAAGTATTGATACAATGTCACATATATACTCACATAGTTACTATTTATTAGTGCATTCAATTATTTATTGTGTTGATCATTATTTTACCCGAGATGCCTGATTTAATTTGTCTCCAGTTTTCTTCTCCTGTTCGGTCTCCCATATTGATTTTATCTATGACATATGCTAATGACCTTTCTATAACCCATTTATTCATGTCTCATATATATTGCCCAAATTTGCTCCTTGGTAACTGCGATGAGGTTTTCTAAAGCAATGGGATAACAATTAGGTAGGAGATCAATACATACATGACAACTAGAGCTAGAGGGATCCAAGAGGTGTGCCGCCCGACTACTTGAGTAGAGGCATAACCTGTAGGTTAGTATTGAAGACTATTGGGAATCTGAGATGAGAGAACCCTGATTTAGTAGAGATGGGGGAAGAAAAAAAAATGAAAACTTAAAATTAGGCGGTCCGATAAATTTTTCAATAATACTTTTGACCACAACTACTTATTATGAACTATATGAGATTGTAATATAATCAATTTTTCCACTGTATTGACAATGCACAACATGCCCGATGGTATGGCCTACCCTTTCACATCATAGAATTACTCTGCAGCGGCAGCCCGGCAAAGGTATCATCCATGACAAACGAGTTTACCCTAAAGATTTTACCATAAAAATTTGAATACTATAAAACATCTTAAATGAAAATTTGAACAAACATAACATAGAATTTATTTAACTAGCGCTATACATTTTGTGTAATTTTACATACAGGCAACAACTTAAGTTGCCAAATAAAACTCATTACAAACCAAGTTGTTACCTTCTAATATAAGCTAAAACGTAATTGTTGTGAAAAAAAACAAATACAGTTTTATACTCCTTCTGTTTCATATTATTTTTTTCTACTAGTGAAACATTTTTTAATTTGACCATATTTATAGAAAAATATAGTAACATTTATAAAAAAAAAAATATTATCAAACTGTATCCAATGTTACATTTAATGAAACTAATTTAGTATTAACAAGTTAATTTAGAAAATAATCAACATGATTATAAAACAGATGAAGTATAATTTATTCAAGCCTCTTCATTTATTAAAACTGAAAAAAGAAATGTAATTTGAGAACAAAAATCCCTTGCTCATCTCCCTTCCCTTCCGTTCGCCATCTAACGAACTTTCGCGGAATAGGCGGTTCCCACTTCCATCCATGTCCATTCCCCTTTTTCCTCTCCCCTTCGCTACTCGCCAACAGAAGAAAAACCCTCACCTCCACTCCCCCCTCGCCGGAGCCACGGCGACCCTCTCCACCCCCTGCCTTGCCGCCGGCGAGTGTCCTTGCGTGCGCCGCCGGTGAGCGGGTGTGGATCCCAGCGGCGGCGCGATCGGCCTTCGAATCGAACTGAAAGGTATTGGGCTCTTCTCTCTCGTAACTGGGGATCGATTAGATCGGTGTTAGATTGGCCTATTTGCGTCCAATTAGCCGATCCTATTTCGTCCCGATTTCATTTATATGATCCGTGGTGCGTGCTGCAGTACTAATTGCAATTTTGTTTTTATTTTTTTTTGCAAAATAATTGGGGCTCAGCTGAACCCTCGTTGCCACTGCTGTGAACATGTCCCAAATTGAGAAGATCGTATGAGCTATGGGGAATTATTAGGATTCTTGGAGGCGGCGGCGGCATATGGTGTTCTTCCCGGAGGAGGTGGTGGAGCACATCCTTGGGTTTCTAGCGTCGCACCGCGACCGCAACGCGGTGTCGCTGGTGTGCCGGGAGTGGTACCGCGTCGAGCGCCTCAGCCGCCGCTCGGTGCTCGTGCGCAACTGCTACGCGGCGCGCCCGGAGCGCGTGCACGCGCGCTTCCCCGGCCTGCGCTCGCTGAGCGTGAAGGGGAGGCCGCGCTTTGTCCCCGCGGGGTGGGGTGCCGCGGCGCGGCCATGGGTGGCCGCGTGCGTCGCCGCGTGCCCTGGCCTCGAGGAGCTCCGGCTGAAGCGGATGGTTGTCACTGATGGGTGCCTCAAGCTGCTCGCTTGCTCATTCCCCAATTTGAAGTCGCTCGTCCTTGTTGGCTGTCAGGGGTTCAGCACTGATGGGCTTGCTACTGTCGCTACCAATTGCAGGTGAGACTAATGCAAGCTTCTAGATTTTGTGTCGTAATGATCTGAATTTAGGAGTCCTCCATTAGATATTGACTTTGTTGGCTCTGACTGTTTAAGTTAATCTTGCATAGCCATTTTAATTAGCTATGCTTTACCTATTGTTAGGTACTCAGGTTTTCAACCTTCTTGATGTTCAGTTTATGGCAATGCTCAAGTCTAGTTCACATCATGGAACCTCATTCGTCCTTGTGTACTTCGTTTCAGTTTAGGCTATATCTATCTATTACAGGTTTAGAGATCATAATCGCGTAACTAAAACTGTCAAACACAATGCACAAGCTCCTCACAAAATTTAGGGGCAATCTAAGTTTTGCATAATTTAGTTTGAATCTCCAGTTAAATACTTACACTATTTTTTTGCATTAGTTGTTATTAGTTAACACTCTTTTATTCATATCAAATCGTGTGATATGATTTGCTTGTCTATTTATTGGGATTTTGTGTGACTTATGTCAGAAGATAATTATTGAAATCACGAAAATATCACATATTCATTTTTCCATGAGCACTTAACTGAAATACTTCAAGATTCCTTTATCCATAGTTCTCAATGTTTATGTGAACTCCATATAGCAAGGTGGAAACACCAAGAACAACCATGTAATGTTGGAAAATTGAGCAAGTCACTGCTACTAGTATATTGTTATTGCAATTTTAAGGAGCACTGGAAACACTTCATTGTATACTTACACATGTTTGGGAAATGTTTTGACTAATAACCAAGAAACAGTGCTGGAGGGTGGAGAACTGGAGATCAACAAAAATTATACTTCCTAAATCCATCCTAAAGGACTAAAGAAATTTAAACTATTCACTGTTTTACTTTTTCCTATCTAATAGCTTTTGCATTTCTCAGTTTCACAGTTTCATTTATAAGCCGTCTCATGTTTTTTTAATAACATCTATTGACCTTTTACTCCAAATTGAATTATGATAAGTTGTTTGGTTATTTGGATGATATCATCTTTAAGGGTGTTCACCATCCAGTATTTTGTGCACTACCTGTTTGTTTTTGGTGGAACTGGTGGTCAGTGCTCAAGAGGCACCAGTGCTAAGCATATTTCATCGGCTTGATTACCTTGATAGTCATTTAATCATAGTAGCTGGCAACAATTTGGACAACTTTAAATTTGTGATCTCATACTTCTGTTCTGTTACATAAAGCTAACTTTAGATTTATTTTCACCTCTACTGTCTCTAGTTTTTCTGCAGAAGTATTTTGGCTGACACAATGCATCTTATGAATTTTATTTATAACTCTTCGCTCTTAGATTTATGAAGGAACTGGACTTACAAGAGAGTCTGGTGGAGGATCGAGACTCTCGTTGGCTTGGATGTTTTCCCAAGCCTTCTACATTACTAGAATCCTTGAATTTTTCTTGCTTGACCGGGGAGGTGAATAGTCCTGCATTGGAAATACTGGTTGCAAGGAGTCCAAATCTTAGAAGCTTGAGATTGAACCGTTCAGTTCCACTTGATGTTTTGGCCAGAATTCTTTGTCGCAGACCTAGGCTGGTGGATTTATGTACAGGATCTTTTGTACGAGGCAATATTGTTGGTGCATATGCTGGGCTATTCAATAGTTTTCAACATTGCAGTTTGCTGAAGAGTTTATCTGGGTTTTGGGATGCTACAAGCTTGTTTATTCCAGTGATTGCTCCTGTTTGCAAGAATCTAACGTGCTTGAACCTTAGCTCTGCTCCAATGGTCAGGAGTGCTTATCTTATTGAATTTATTTGTCAATGCAAGAAACTCCAACAATTGTGGGTAAGACTTACTAGAAGTAATGCAAATGATTTGCTAGGGATTTATTTAAGTAATCTAGTTATGAAGTGTGATACTGTGTTGGTTGTTTATATTTTCAACTTACAAAATTTATAGGGGTTGCTGGCGAATGGGAAAAAATATAGGTGTTTTTTTGCGAGGTTAAGTACACTGTTAACGTTCCTGCAGTCGATAGGTGCATTTGTTGTGACTTGTGAGGTTGATTATACTGTTTCCCTGTTTACAAGACCGTTGCACTGGAAGTATATGGAATGACAGTGTAGATGGGATATCATTTTCTTCTTATTTGGAACTTCTGTTTTGGCAATCATATCCTACTTCAATCAGCTTATGGTTTGAGTTACATGCTTAGTAGGCAAGAATTTCATATACTTAAACAAACCAAAATTCATTTTAGTCCACTTTCTAGTAACTCTCACTGTTTAGCAGAGGTGAATTGCACCCCTCTGAGTTAAATAAAAAACCACAAATTTGTTTGTGCGAATGTTGATCTGTTTGTGCAAATGTTACTAAAATATCTAGATGGTGAGATAGATTTACAAATGTTCTAGAATTTTGAAATAACAACGTTTTGAATTTTCCTGTATCTTTAGTAATGCTACCATGGTTTTAATGTTCTGATTTGTGTTTTGGTCGCATCATATACAGTTCAACGTTTGTGTCAACATGGTACTGATTCCTTGATATTGGAAGATTGTTAATTGATAACTTGATAAAACTAGTCTGGATCCACTTCATACCAGGGAAAAAGGGAATAATGCCAAATATTTGTTGGACTAGAGTATCAATGTGACCTAATCAGTTCACTGTGTGATTAGTGCACATAATGACACAATAAATCAAGTATAATAATAATTGGGGTGTTATACTCAGGTTAGATAAGCTTTGTATGTGGGTTGTGTTAACAACTATTTGAATAGAAGTTAAAGCTTACTAACTGCAGTAGAATGCTATCCCTATGTTTCTTCTATTTGTGATGCAGTTGTTGGTTGTTTCTTCATAAATGTGTTTTGGTTACCTAGGCCTTATCCTTGGTTTCAGGTGTTAGATCACATTGGTGATGAAGGATTGAAAATTGTAGCCTCATCCTGTATACAGCTCCAAGAGTTGAGAGTATTTCCTGCGAATGCAAATGCCAGAGCAAGCACTGTGACAGAGGAAGGGCTAGTTGCCATATCTGCAGGCTGTAACAAGTTACAGTCTGTGCTCTATTTTTGCCAACGGATGACAAACTCTGCACTGATTACTGTCGCAAAGAACTGCCCACGATTCACGTCCTTCAGACTGTGTGTTCTTGATCCAGGATCAGCAGACGCTGTGACAGGGCAGCCATTGGATGAGGGTTATGGGGCAATCGTACAGTCATGCAAAGGCCTTAGACGGCTATGTTTGTCTGGACTTCTCACAGACACAGTGTTCCTCTACATTGGCATGTATGCTGAGAGGCTGGAGATGCTTTCTGTAGCATTTGCAGGAGATACCGACGATGGCATGACCTACGTGCTCAATGGCTGCAAAAATCTCAAGAAGCTGGAAATCAGGGACAGTCCTTTTGGTGACAGCGCGCTTCTTGCAGGCATGCATCAGTACGAGGCAATGCGCTCACTCTGGTTGTCGTCGTGTAATGTCACCCTGGGGGGTTGCAAGTCTCTTGCAGCAAGCATGGCAAACCTCAACATCGAGGTCATGAATAGAGCAGCAAGTATCAATGAGGCAGACAATGCTAATGATGCAAAGAAGGTGAAGAAGTTGTATATTTACAGGACAGTTGCTGGACCGAGGGGTGATGCGCCTGAATTCATCTCAACGTTCTAAATCCATATATTTTTGAAGTTGAAGGTTTGTTCTTCGACAACCACCTTTTGTTTATATCATACTCTGCTACGTCGAGTTGATCTACATGTTCTAAAGATCTATCTATCTTCACGGTCGAAGGGATCTTCTAGGATTATTTTGTGTAAATTCCTTTGCTATCACCTCTGCTATGTCATTATCTTCCAGCAGTGCTACACTTATGATTAATCTCCAAAATTGAAACTCTATAGTTATGGTTAACTTGGCAGATTGATTACACATCATGGTAACATCTAAGCCTTGTAATACCATAATTCTAGCAAGTCATATGCGTGGTTCATCTTCATGTATATACGATTTCATATCGATGCTCTCATGTAATGTCTGGGAAATTTGAAGTGCCAAATTGTTACTTTTCTGAGTCGAAAGATATGATCAGTTAAGCCTGATGAACAGCTGATTCAGTAGTTGGACCCTCCAATTTGTTGCAGCATTTCAGCACTGGTCAAGACTAATCTGTGATTTACAAGTTGAGAATTTGAGTAGATCCCCATCCTGTTTACCTTCAAATACTCTGAAATTTTTCTTTCTGATGTCGCAATCCAATGTCCATGTCGCTGCAAGACAGGGTGGCTTGGAAGTCAGTCATCTCGCTGTCAGTTGTAGCGTGGGGGTGTACTGGTGTTGCTCACAGTTTGATATCATCATCATGGCCATCACACAACATGCTTATTCCTGCACGGTTTAGCAAGCTTTAATTGACCACCATCATCGCTTGCTGTTTGATCATTAGTACTACATCAATTGGAGTCCAAATTCCAAAATGTTTGGTTATAATTGCTTCGAGGCAATTAAGATGTTTATGAGGGTAAATTAAGGACTTGTTTAGTTGGGGAAAATTTTTATATTTGATTGTCACATTGGATATACGGACACACATTTGAAGTATTAAATGTAATCTAATAACACAGTAAATTATAGATTCCGCCTGTAAACTGCTTGGTGAATTTATTGAGCCTAATTAATCCGTTATTAGTAAATGTTTACTGCAACACCACATTGTCAAATCATGGCGTAATTAGGTTTAAAAGATTCTCCTCGTAATTTACACGTAATATGTGTAATTGTTTTTTCTTACATTTAATACTTCATGCATATGTAAATATTCGACGTCACAGCGTGAAGATTTTTGTTTTGGGAACTAAAGGTGAAAACAACATGATGGTAGGAAAAGAATGAGTATGAGCATGCAGCGACGTGTGTAGGACAGTACGGGTCTGTGTCATCATGTGATGGGAGAGCCCCATTGCTCTGAAAATTAATGTAGAGAAGTTTCTGCGAACGTGATATATATACGATGGAGAGGGAGAGGGGAGACAGATTGGGCGGTGAGAATTAAATCATAAAATCAGGATCTCATCGACATGTATGCCTATGCTTATGTGTCGGCGCTGCGTATGGGTCACATGCACGCATGCTACTGTTCGATGACTCTGTAATTAACATTATATTTTTGTTTCTTTAATTAGTTTTTTTCTCAAAGAATCAACCCACTTCTTTTTTTTTTCGTGAGTCGTTGACGCAATTCCTGACATTTGACCTTATCAGGTACGAATGGCAGTATGGCAGTGAGAACCGAGATATCCAGTACAAGTACAGTAGAAAAAAAATACTCATCGAAGGGTGATAAATTACACTAAATTTCTCCCCCAAATGTTTTGATTGATTTATGTCAAATCATACACAAGTACTATATCCGTCCCATTAAAAAATCAACATAGCACCACGAATGTGATCATACATTTGTCCAAATTCATTGTATTAAAATGTAACAATTCGTTTTTTCTTTCGTGGAACAGAGGAAATACATAGCAATGATACAAGTGTACTGGTAATAGTGACACGTTCTTTATGAACTGAACTTCATAAATATTTGATACTCATTCTGTCCCATATTGATTCCTAGCAATTCTTAGATAAATTAGTAATGAGAAAATCAAACAAATACTATTGACAAGCCAGCAAATATTTGATATTCGTTCTGTATAATGTGGCGTGGAGGAGAGAGATGCGAGTTGAGATAGTCAGGCCGGCACTTTACATGAGCAGTCGCTTGCACGGGTACCTATGCAACCAGTGGGATCCATAGTAATATCTCCGTCCCAAGATAAGTGAAGTTGTGGGGAACCATGTCCAGTGTTTGACCGTTTGTCTTATTTAAAAAATTTATAAAAAAATTAAAAAAAATTAGTCGCCCATAAAGTACTATTCATGTTTTATCATCTGATAACACAAAAATAGTAATCACTGAAGCATTGGATATGAATAGTATAAAACTGCACTTATTTTAGGATGGAGGGAGTAGTAGCAATGTAGCATGCATGGAGGGAGCATGGCTTAGGGTTGTTTCTGAGAAGTTGGTTGGAAGAATATAAAAAAGTTAGGTTTCCTAACTCCTGGCTTTGAATTTATTTTCTGGATTCTACAGCTATAGCTTCTTAGAATCTGGACACGTTTTTGGTGGGCTCAGGTGAGACTTTTCATCCATTAAATGTATCATGTGTATATAGCCTCGTAGAGCTTTAGGTGGTGTTTGGATCCAGGGACTTAACTTTAGTTTCTATATTTAGACACTAATTTAGAGTATTAAATATAGACTACTTACAAAACTAATTACATAAATGAAAGCTAATTTGCGAGACAAATTTTTTAAGCCTAATTAATCCATAATTAGAGAATGTTTACTATAGCATAACATAGGCTAATCATGGATTAATTAGACTCAATAGATTCGTCTCGCGAATTAGTCCAAGATTATGGATGGGTTTTATTAATAGTCTACGTTTAATATTTATAATTAGTGTTTAAATATCCGATGTGATAGGGACTTAAAAGTTTTAGTACCATCTAAACAGGGTCTTATACATCAACTCTTCGACTAGGGCTGTGTTTAGTTTTACGCTAAAATTAAAAGTTTGAAGAAAAAAGTTGAAAATTTATGTGTGTAGAAAAGTTTTGATGTGATAGAAAAAATGAAAGTTTTTTAAAAAAAGTTGGGAACTAAACTCGGCCTAGCTATATATAAAAATCGGAGTAAGCAGTAAGTTTTTTTATTGACTTTGATCTTACAAACAAGTAAATAAAAGTACGCCGCTAGTACAACATCTAGTAAGGCCATGTTCCTGCATTAGTAGCAGATAGATTTTTTTACACATAAAACGAGATAAACCATTCAAACATAATTAATCAAGTATTAATTATTATAAATTTGAAAATATATTTATTTGATTTTTTATTTTTTATTATATATCAGTTTTAATAAAAATATCGTTTAGCGGTTAAAAAAGCGTGTTAAACAAAAACAAAAAAGTTTATAGTTTGGAGTTATAGTCTAGAACGGGACCTAATTAGTACTGCCAGCAAGACTATAAATACGTTGAGTGAGTTGACTGAGATCTATCAGGATTCGGTCATTCCCAACCCAAGACACTAGACATAGTTTTGATAAACTTCACATCATCATGAAACTAGTACTAGACACTACTCTTTCAATGCAAACATCACTATTCCGTACTTAAATTTAATGCTACTTATCTCACATGATGTCTTGGATGTTGTGTAGAAACCATGTCTTATGCAAGACATGGTTTCCTTCTCTTTCCTCATTTATTCACTTGCCACATCATTTTTCATTCTAGATGGCAGCTTATTTAATGCTATGGACTCTATCCTGGTCATTGGGTTGGGAATGGGCTTATAATTATTTCCATCAGCTTTGCTTGCTTGCATATGATACATAGGGGACACTGGACACACCATCTGATTAAGGGTGTTTAGTTCGCCAAAAGAAAATTTTTGGTGTCATATAGGATGTTTGACCAGATGTTGGAGGGGTTTTCGGACACGAATAAAAAAACTAATTTCATAACTCGTCTGAAAACCACGAGATGAATTTATTAAGCCTAATTAATCTGTCATTAGCATATGTGGGTTACTGTAGTACTTATGGCTAATCATGGACTAATTAGGCTCAAAAGATTCGTGTTTAATGCTCTATGCATATGTCCAAAGATTCGATGTGACGTTTTTAGGAAAAAAAATTCGTTATATATATAGCTATTTCATTGGTTCAAAAATAAATCAATCTTATATAGGATATGACACATTCTAATATGATGAATTCAAACACAAAAAAATATTCAGATTCATTATACTAATATATGCCATATTTGTTATAAAGATTGATTTATTTTAAAATCGTGATAGTAGATACTTCCTCTGTTCCAAAATATAAGGGATTTTAGTTGGATGTAACGTATACTGTACTATAAATCTATACAGGGTATCATAATACTACTATTATGAATCTAGACATGTTTCTTATCTATATTTATATTACTAGCATACGTCATATTCAATCAAAATGCTAAATATTTAGGGAGCGAGGGAGTAGGGCCATAGGAGATGGAGGACGACATACTTGTAAAATCAAAAGGTGTTTTTGATTATTATTCTGTGATGAACAATTGGGCATTGGAGATTATTGGTTTTGTTATTTGGAACTTATTCACGAAGTGGTTTTGGAGATGATTGGATTTTATAGGTGATCGCAGGATTCGTCATTTTATGTGACCGGTCAGACCGGGATCTGGTAGCCGGTCAGACCGGCGTGTAATGCGCGGTCAGACCGGCGCAGCCCGCGGTCTGACCAGCCGACACTGTGTCGGTTTCGGTTTCGGGTTGTTTATTTGGATATCCGAGTTTATTTCATGATTATAACTTCTAGATGGATACTATACGTATGTAATACTATTGTTTGTTGCTAATGAGTCAAGTTGGAGATAGCTTGGTCTCGGAATATAGTTTCTTTGTTTGTTCCATATGTAAGTGACTCGATGTCTTGGGAGAGTATTTGTGGTGATGGACCGGGAGTCGGCTTGGGGATAAGACGACGTCCGTGGTGGTCAGAGATCATGCAGGATACTTAGGCTAGAGTTGATACACGTGGTTGATGGAGATTCTATATGGCATACGATGGAGTTATTGTGTGCATATGGGATGCGGAGTCGAATTTGGAAGGAGTCCAAATTTGGTACGATTGGTTATGTAAAGTTTCTTTCTTGTACTATAGAGTTTTCTAAAGTGTTTAGGACTCCTAGTATGAGTTTGGTTTGTGGCTTTAGGCTGCCTACCTCATATATAAATAGAGGGGGAGCGTGAGGCTTCCCGGTATCGCTTTAGAGACCAATTGAGTTGAGTTTTCAGTTAGGGTTTCAAGTTTAGTCGAAATTTTTGTAAGGAGTGCTGTTGGTGCACTTTGTAAACACAGAGAGAATCAATAAAGTCGTCATCTACTTTAAGAGTTCTTCGATTTGTGTTTCACCGGGTTTCGGCGGTCTAACCGGCGATCTACGGGCGGTCAGACCGGCGGCAAGTGGCGGTCAGACCGGCGGGA